TCTCGGGAACTGCGACGCTCCCCACGATCACAAGCCTGTGTCACCATGGTCACCAACCGTCTAGGGACAGCTGGCCGTTCAACAGTGTACCCGCGGTGTCCAGCAGGACACCGTGTTCTGTGACACGCATGACCGGGGACGCAGCACACACCAGAGCCTCTGGCCAGAGCCTCGGGTTAGGGGTGGGCCACAACTGCCAAAGACTCTGCCTCCCTGAGTCTAGGCCCGTCTCCATGGATACGCTCCCGGAGGGAGACACCATGTCTCCAGGACGTGCCAGTGACATTCTCCGGGGATGGTGGGGAGTGGGGTGGGCCGTGCAGCCGCACAGGTAGCGAACTTCTGCAGGGCCCCGCGTCAGCGCCTGCCAGTGCCCGCCAGCACCCCCTACCTCTCGACGTCGTTCTCCCGGTTCAGGATCTCCATGTAGCTGTCCTTCAGCCGCAGGAACGTGAAGCCCAGCCTGCAATGAGACAGCGGGCTCACCCGGGACGTCGCCCGAGACCCCGGTCCGCCTCCCCCAGGGCAGTTCCCCAGGCTGGGCAGGGCCCTCAGGATCGAGAGGCGTGGAGTGGGCTGAGAAGTCGCACTGAATCTGTTCAGGCCTCGAACCCTGCCGGAGCACGGGGACCCTACACCTGTGCTCAGCCCTGCACGGGCGGCCTCAGGCAGGTGCTGCATTTCCAGGAAAGCAGCGCCGGCCGCTTCTGCGCCCCCATGCCCATCAGCACACCAGCACGTGACCCGCGCCTGGCATGTGTGTGGCCCTCGCCGTCAGTTGAACATGCTGACAGGCAGGGCCTGAGACCAGCCCGCAGCCGCCGTTACTGATGGGAAGTGGGGCCAGAGCTGACGGCGTGAGCGTGTGTGCAGAGCGCAGACCTGCAGCCGCCCCAGGAGAGGGGCCCAGGTGGGCGTGTGGGCGTGTCACCCAACACAGTAGGCTACCAGGTGCAGGTGCCCTGGAGCTCGGCAGGTTCTGTATGCTGAAGGGAAGGCTTCTCGGAGCGAGGAGCCGAGGATAGCGCCGCAGCCCGCCAGCCCTTGGAGACTGCGGCCTGCAGGCAGACTAAGCACCTGCCTCCCGAGGACAGCGCACGCGGTCTGAGCACCGCGCCTGCGAGCCCACAGGCTCACTCATGGACTTCTGGGACTCTGGATCCTACGTGGCTGACAGTCTGAGTCTCAGCCCTGGAAGCTTGAAAACAAGTGTGTGCCCGAATTGAGGGGATGGAGGGGAGGGACGGTGTGACTGTGCCCCTGGGGTGCATCCTGGGCCTCCCCACACCTCTGGCAGGCTCTTTGGTTTATACGGTCTGACTGCTGGGCCCTCCTGCCTCGGCTTCCTGAGTAGCTGGGATTACAGGTGCATGCCACAGCGTTGGCCCTTAGGGTGGGATCAGGAATTGAACCAGGGCCTCCATGTGGTCCCAGCCTACAGACCACAGCATCGGACCAGCACATACCACCACAGTGGGGCCAGCACCACCTACTGAGAGCAGTGAGGATGGGGAACCTGGCCTGGAATGTCACATGGAGGCGGGAAACTGGAAGAGTTCAGGGGACTTTCCTAACGGAGTTACACGCTGGAAGGCTTCAAGTATTTTCCCAAGCATTTGCTTAAAACACTGTGTCTCCCAAGCACAAGGACACCAGTAGAAGGACCCCACGGTACCAGAGCACAGCTGAGGTGACGCGACGTGGATTCGAGGCGGCGGGAAGACCCCGACCAGGCCTTGCCTCTCCACGTCCCGTGACTGTGGGAAGGCTGCAAACATCCGGGCCGGGAGGTCCAGGCTGTGTGGAAAGTGGGCAGGACTGTTGCCACTTTGCAGGCCGCGATGGCTCGGAAGGACCCCCACATTTGTCACAGAGGAACAGCCACCCACAAAGCACAGCTGAAGACTCCTCGAGCCAGGAGTCATGGGGCGCATGCAGAGACCAGGCTCGAGACCGGGCCGTCCCCGTTCAGGCTGGAGAGGGCTGCAGCACACACAGTGCCCTGGTCCCGTGCTGAAACCCTGCTGACCGCAGCCGGCCACCCACCTCTGGACACCTTCGACAAGTGCCACCTCGTCGGGGGAGGACGAGATGTACACACAGGACCTTCCCGAGTCAGGCGACTTCCTGGGGCCATCCACGTGGTCTTCATCTTTCACTTGGACGGTGTGACAGAGACAGAGAGCCCGGAAAAACAGCTCCTCGTGGTCCTGAGAGACACAAGAAAACTACGGTCTGTCTGCTAAACTGAGGGGGGGGGGGCAAGCCAAAGGTCACGAGGGATCAGAAGGCAGTGACAGGCGACTCCCAGGGGCGCCGGGAATTGGCGCTCTGCCTCAGGTTACAAAGCACCAGTGTCAGAAAAGCTGTGATGTGTTTTCTGTTTTTCTAAGCGAAGCTGTGTCACAACTTTCTCTGCCACCCAGGACATGTCCAAAACCCAAGGAGAGAGACTGCATCCCCCCAGGGGCGAAGTCTCACTTCCCTCCTCTCTGGCAGGTGCATGCGCCCTGCGGCAAACACTTCAAAAGAAAAGAAGGGAGAACGGAGCAGTGGCCCGCTTGGGTCTGGAGGGCAGCAGCCAGGGCGCACGGGCGCATCCCCATCCTGACACCCTACTCTCTGGCTGTGCTGCGGCCCGTCACCGCGTGACAACTCCCCTGACGACAGCGCGCATTACACTGGGTGACACGGGAGGCCCTGACTCCCTCCTGTCAAGTGCAGCACCAGCGCCCCGGCAGCTGCAGGTCCCTAGTAAGGGGAGGGAGTGGAGGGGAAGTGCTCAGGTCAGGCAGGCCCAGCCCGGGTCCAAGACGCTGCCCCTGCACACGGCTCCCTCCACGCGGGTCTCACACAGGCTCAGGGTGAGGGAGGCCAGGAACACCCACTTGTCCAGCCTAACCCCATGAAAAGCTGCTGTGAGGGCTCAGCCAGAGCCACCTGAGAGCCTGCACTCCCTCAGGGCACGACACGGCTGCAGAGCCCTGAGGCCACCCTGCTCTGGGGACCCCAGGAGCTGAGTTCTCCACGGCCTGGCCAGAGCATCCAGGCCGACTGCACATGGGGTTCCAGCCCTCGAGAGGCGCGATGGGAGCATCTGCATGCTTATGTGGACGTGCATATGTGCCTACACGTGCGAGTACATGTGTGAATGCACACGTGTGTTTACAAGTGAGTGTGTGCGACATGCACATGTGCGCCTGCATGTGTCAGTGCATTGTGAACATGCACACATGTGCCTACATGTGTGGGTACATGCCTACACCTACATCTGCGAGCCTTCACATGTGACTGCATGTGTGAATGTGCACACGTGCACATGTAAGTGAACAGGCATGTGTATGCCTACACATGTATGTGCCTACAGCTACATCCAGGAGCCTTCACATGTGAGTGCATGTGTGAGCATGCACGTGCATGCCTACATGTGAGTGGGCATGTGAACATGCACATGCATGCCTACACATGTGTGTGCCTATACCTACATCCGTGAGCCTTCATATGTGAGTGCATAGGCCAGGCTCAGGAGCCTGTGTGTGTGTGCATGTGTGAGTACATGTGTGAACTTACGCCTGTAAGCCTGCACCTACGGCCTGCATTGTGAGTGGCTGTGTGAGGCTGCACCTGTGTGCCTACGTGTGTGCACGTGTGAGCCTGCACCTATGTGCCCACATGTGTGCACGTGTGAGGCCGCACATGCTGACACACACATTTGCTCACTGCATGCTTGCAGCACCTCTGCCCGCCGTCCAGAATGGGAGAGCAGATCTCAGAGCGTGCACTGCCCTGCCCTAGCAGGACCGGCACATGCAGCTGGTGCTTAGACCACGTCTCCCCGGAGCCCACGGGGCCTCACGCCTCTCCTGGACACTGACTAGAAGGGGCCACCTGCGCACTTGTGAGGGACAGTGCAGCCCCAGGAGTGCCACCTACCCTGCCGCTGACGCCCGGGGACGAGTCGATCATGTCGATGCCCGAGGAGTCGGGGAGCACCTGCCCGTTGCAGATGACGTGCGGCACGTAGACGTGGCCGCCGATGCAGCACTCCTTGAACTCCATGTTGTTCTCCGTGAGCGTGCCCGTCTTGTCCGTGAACACGTACTCCACCTGCAGCACAGTGCGGGTCAGGCGGGCGGTGGGGGCCTGGCCCAGGCGCACTGTGTCACGTGGACGGGAGACGGTATCCGGAATTTCTACCAACAGCCCGTCATGGAGGGGTGGGCAGTGTCCACCTGCCTTCCCTCCAGCTCTGGACGGGGACACAGGAGGACGTGAAGGCCCCTGTGCTCCTTGACCTGGGTGGGCTTCACTCTCCCAAAGGGAGCAAGAGAACGTGGCTCCGTGTGGCACCCACTCATGCAGCACTACGGCTCAAGCCCCATTTGCTCGGGAGACAGGGTGAGGAACCCTGAGCCCACATAAGAACCACATGGGCTAGGGTCCATGGAGGACGGAACTCGGCTCCACATGAGGTCTTGAAGACACAGTTCAAGCAAACAGTGACCAGGAAACTCGAAAGAGAGCCATGCAGGGCTACAGACGCGGCCACCGTCCAGTGTAGCCAAGGTTGCTTGTGGGCACTGCTGTCGACAGCTGCGAGGAGCAGGCCACTCTGGGACATTGTGTGACAGCCTGCACCTGTGTTGGGGATCCACGTCAGCTGTGCCCGACTCGAATCAGGGAGGGCTGTAGGGCAGGGGTGGGCGGGCTCAGAGCCCTGCAGTGCTGCCCCAGCACTCACCCAGGCCACAGAAGCGACCGGAGTGTGGGCCAAGAACGATGCTATGGGCTATGGAGAAGGGGCCGGTGGGTCTCCAGGTACGCCACCTCCTACTGGGTCTTTAGGGGACGTGTTTGCAAAGACTTCCTCCACTGCGTGCGGTTTAACTCGTGCGTGGCAGGTGACCACAGCACTGTCTCGGAACTGCTCGGAAAACCCTGGCCTCCAAATGCCTGTCACCAGCCAGGCCTCCGAGCAGCTGGGCAGGAGGGGAGCTAACGCCCCACTCCATGGCTCCCTGGCACAGACTGCTCGGCCTGATGCAACGACTTCACCACTTGTCTCAGGGGAGACGCGGCAGGAACGTGGGAGTTGGGGCCATCTCCTCCTGACAGCCAGCCCACCTGGGTGCAGGCTCCTGCTATGTGGAGCGTCCTAGGCCTCTGAGCAGGTGAGCAGATGCCCCGCTCCCACTCGGCACCTCCACGTACCTTGAGTAAAAGTTCAGGGCCCTGAGCCCATTAAGAGGAAGGTGACGCGGGTAGGGACAAAGTAGCACAGGGAGCTGTCACACCACCCTGCTTAGCTGGCCCAGTCCAGAGCCGTGGCCATGACAAGTACCCCTGGTAAGAGCAGGCCGGAGGTTAAGGCCCTAGATCCCACATGGCCGACTGTGAGGTTCGAGTCCCGGATCTGGTGGGTGTGAGTGTGTACACGCCCAAAGTCCCAGGAAGAAAATGAAGGGCCTACGGCATGGCCCTCTCCCCGTGAGGTGATTTTCGACTTTCTGTCTCTGTCCGTGGCGAGCGCATACACCCTACAGCAAAAATAAAAATTGAAACAGACAAAAGAACAAGAGAAAGAACGACAGACATTTGTGAGGCACCAGGAGTTAGCTAGGCACCGGGCACCTGTTTTACCCCTCCCCAAGGACGGGCGCGGCTGTCCGGGTGTTACAGACAAGGAAGCCTTCGTGTCCGGACTCAGCCCAGGGCGACTGTGGCCGTCCCGCACGGTGACGAGTGTCCGGGTAAGCACCTGGGCTGTGCTCGATCCCACGTAGGGCTGCGACTGGCCTGGGCCCTCAGACTTCTGAATGCCGCCCTCGGCCAGCTGCCCGTTCCACCGGGACTGCAGGGCTTCACTGAGAAGGCACTTCAGGAAGTTCATTGAGCAGGTGAAACGGAAGTGCGGGCTCATCCAGTGCAAAAAGCGCTTGACGCGCCGAGTTCTTCCACAGCACCTGTCCCAGGGACTTGCCGGGCCCCGGCCTGCAAGGTCCGCACATCTCCGGGCTCCACCTCCCCGATCTGGGCCCTGTCCTTTCCCTGCCTAAGTGCCCTGGCTAGGACACCCAGCGCCGGGCTGCACGGGCGTGGTGAGCGGTGCCCGCCGTGCTCCGGGGTCCACACGGCACCAGCGGGGGCTCGCACGGCCGTGGTGTGGTGTGCACACCCCTTCGACGCCTTCTGTGGAAGTGTCCATGCCGCACCACCGATGCCCTTCGTGCCTCTGCAGTGAGGCCGTCCTCCAGCTGCCGAACTGGCCCTGGCTGCTGGTGTGTGCTGGGCCACCCTGCATCCAGCGACGCGGCGACCGTGCGAGGGACATGCGCACGCAGCCTGCTTGGACCTGTCGAGGGTTTCCGCAGCTCAGCTCACCGGGGCTGTGGGCTCGTGCTCCCGCTCTGTAGTGAGGGAGTGAGCCCATGTCACTGGCCAGCCAGGAAGGACAGCGCTCACTGCCACGGGCCTGCTGGCCACGCGTGATCTCGGGAGTACCACCGCACAAGGGCCAGGCAGCTGCTGCCTCCCCAGGTTGTGGGCAGAAACTTCCAGAGCCTTGGCGTCTCGTCTGAGAAACGGGTGTCTTCACTGACCTCACAGGAAGAGGCTCGGCAGGACACAGGCACCGAGCACTGGGCGGAGGACCTCAGGCCTGGACAGACAGGTGCGTGGTGCGTGGGTGACCACAGCAGTCACGCATCTCGTTCCGGATGGCGTGTCAGTGGGAACCCACGCCTCAGCCACATCTTACCCGCACGTCATCCATGTCTCAGCCATGCTACCCCCTTCTCAGCCACGCCTCAGCCACATTTCACCCACACCTCTCCCACATCTCAGCCACGCCACACCTGCACCTCAGCCACGCCACACCTGCACCTCAGCCACACCTCAGCCATGTCGCACCCACGCTTCTGTCACATCTCACCCACACCTTGACCACGCCTCTTCCACGTCTCAGCCGCGCCACACCTGTACCTCAGCCATGTCACCCACGCTTCGACCACGTCTCTTCCACGTCTCAGCCACACCACACCTGTGCCTCAGCCATGTCACCCACGCTTCGACCACGCCTCTTCCACGTCTCAGCCACGCCACCTGTGCCTCAGCCATGTCACCCATGCTTCGACCATGCCTCTTCCACGTCTCAGCCGCGCCACACCTGTGCCTCAGCCATGTCACCCACGCTTTGACCACGCCTCTTCCACATCTCAGCCACGCCACACCTGTGCCTCAGCCACATCTCTCCCGCACCTTGCCCTGCACCTCTCCCATGTCTCAGCCCTGACTCGCCAGGTCTCAGCCACACCACTCTCGTGTCTTGGCCACGCCATACTTGTGCCACCATCCCACACTTGCATCTCAGCCACATCTCACCCTGCACCTAATCCACATCTTGGCCACACCTCCCCCACACCAACAGGGTAGGCAGAAGAAACCCTCAATTTTCTGGGCTTGCTCATTGTATTTTATGGAAAAACCCTTTGCAGTGCATTTCCGGGGAAGACACAGCACCCACCGCCTATGACCACAAAGAACAGGGACAGGCAGGTGACACGTGCCACTCTGGTGGCCTGAGCGCACTGAACAGCCCAAGGCACAGATGGGCAGACGCCGCCTGTGAGGCAGGAGCTCTTTCGAGGCGGGCGGTGTGCTGCCCCACCAGGGTCCAGTCTTGGCGGCGCTCGGAGGCGAGGCTGCAGCATGCCCCTCAGTTCCAGACGGCTCTCTTCTCACAAACTCCTCCAAGTTTCTTCCTTTTTCCTTTTCCTTTCTTTTCTTTTTCTCTTTAACTAAAGAATTTCCAGTCTTTACAGAATTCCATTCCTCTTACGGAAACAGACATCAGCTGAGTGCCAACGGCCGCCAGGGTGCCTTGGGCTTGATCTCCACACACAGCTCGGTTTCCACCAAGAAGCTCGCTCCCACATCCAAGAGCTTAAAGTAAAACGAAAATCCATACCCCACCCCAGCAACCCTCCTGCCAAAAGCCGTCATCTTACCCACCACAGCCCTCCCTCTAGCACAATATTATCACTTATTTCTTTAAAAGAATTTATTTATTTATTTAAATTTGACCAGAGAGGAACAGAATGAGAGAGACAGAGAGAAAATGGGAAGGCAAGCTGCCAGGTCCAGGACTCGAACCGCAGTCTGCCACGTGGGAGTTCAGTGCCTTAACCACCACGCCACCTGCCGGCCCCCACTTTTTACGTTTGCTACAGGGCTGTACACTTGCCAGAGACAGAGAGGGATGTGAGACGGCTCGTCCAGGTGGAGGTTCGCACTAGCCCCTTCCCCACGGCACTCTTGACTTGGGCACGCATGCACATGTGCTCGGCGTGTTTCTCATGTGGCCTGGTCACAACCGAACGGCGTAGTGGGCCACGCGGGATCCAGACGCCAGCAAAACCCACCACCGGCTGCCTCTGTGCACTGCTGGATAGGGGCTCGGCTGGGACAGACCGAGGGCCTCTAGGGACAAGCACACTGCACCCCTGCCTGCTGCACCCCCTGCCTGCTGCACCCCCTGCCTGCTGCACGGTCAGGGTCACTAACACACGTCCTGTCAATCCAGCGCCAAGCCAACGGCTCCTCAGGCTGCAGCCTCACCAGGTGGAGGGGCCCAGCCCACGAGAGCTGTCAGCAGCTGAACGCCCGGCCACCTGCTAGTCCACACCCGCCACCGAGGAGAGGGAGGGACGCCCCGGCAGAATGGAGGCTGCCCCTTGCAGTTTGCGCTGCAGGTGACAAAGTGCACAGGGAGAGGCCAAAGGGGCTGGACCTCCGCCCTCAGGTTTCCTCTAACACTCACGCGTCACCTCCGCTCATCGCCCGCTGCGACTTCCACAGCCCTGAGACGCTGGCATCGGCCTGCTGTGAGGCGCGGGGCTGGCAGCAGGGACAGCCCACCTTCTCATTCCCACTGCCCCAGGCCACCGGGGCCCCTGGGAGGGGTCAGGCTGGGACGTCGTGGTTACCAAGCAGCCTGCGTCCTCACTGGGGTCCGCCCTCCCGGCCGCAGTGCTGACCTCACCTCCCCCAAGCAGCAGGAGCTTTCTGTGTCCCACCCCGGTGCCAGAGCCAGGAGGGCTGCCCGGAAGCCGCGTGAGTGGACCGGAACATGAACGCAATGAACCTTGCTGCGGTTTAAGCGTAACCGTATGTGACACGGGACGTGTGGGATCGCGGCCACTGTCCCTCACCGACGTGGGCCACAGTGACACGTGGTGAGTTCTCCTTTGACCGGCGGGACGACGGAGCCCGCCCACTCGGTGCGGCCGCGTACCCACCTGGCCCAGCTCCTCGTTCAGGTCCGACGTGTTGACCAGGGGCCCCTCTCCGGTCTCCTCGTCAAACATGTCCTCGTCCCACGTGATGAAGTAGGAGCCCAGGAACTTCTGCATCTCGACGGTGACGTACATGGACACAGGGATGATGTAGTTGAACAGAACCATGAAGGCCAGGAAGTCGGTGAAGGCCCTGAGGAACTGAGGTGCAGCGTGGTCACCCCCGGCTCACCGCTCGGCCCGCCGGGCCGGCTCCCCGACGGACGTGGCGCCCTGCGGTTTCCACACGGCTTCTTCCCAGGCAAGGAACGCAGGCAAGCACACGGCCCGTCCTGCCCTGGGGGACACGGGGAGTGAGCACACGGCCCGCCCCGCCCTGGGGGACACGGGGAGTGAGCACACGGCTCGCCCTGCCCTGGGGGAACATGGGTCCAGGAGAGCACACGGCCCGCCCTGCGCTGGTTTTGGTGACCACATGGCCGTGGACTCCGACAGCCCCTTGCCTCTGTGCACGTCCCGCACACATGTCCCCTTTCCTGTGAAAGGGGAGCTCCCTCAAAGCAGGGCACCGGGTCGAGGGGACGCCAGGAGCAGGGAAGTGCGCCCTCAGGGAGCTCCCGGGACTATGCCTTGCAGACTGCACCTGGGAGGACGTGGCCCTACCAGATTCCGCTGCCGCTCTGCGTCTGTCTTCTGGTTGTACCACGGCTCGTCTCGGAAGGGCTCGCTCTGCCACACGTACTTCAGGGCCGTGTTGACCAGGGCCTTGCTGACCAGGATGCAGAGGTACACGACCAGGAACACGTTCATGGACCTGCAAGGGCGGGCATGCGCAGCAGGGCTGACCCTCAGGGCCGACGACCAGCAGGGCTGACCCTCGGGGCTAACCCTCAGGGCTGACCCTCAGGGCCGACGACCAGCAGGGCTGACCCTCGGGGCTGACCCTCAGGGCCGATGACCAGCAGGGCTGACCCTCAGGGCCAACGACCAGCAGGACTGACCCTCAGGGCCAATGACCAGCAGGGCTGACCCTCAAGGCTGACCCTCAGGGCCGACGACCAGCAGGGCTGACCCTCGGGGCTGACCCTCAGGGCTGATAACCAGCAGGGCTGACCCTCAGAACTGACCCTCAGGGCTGACCCTCAGGGTCGACAACCAGCAGGGCTGACCCTCAGGGCTGAAGACCAGCAGGGCTGACCCTCAGGGCTGACCCTCAGGGCCGAAGACCAGCAGGGCTGACCCTCGTGGCTGACCCTCAGGGCCAACAACCAGCAGGGCTGACCCTCATGGCTGGCCCTCAGGGCTGATGACCAGCAGGGCTGACCCTCAGGGCTGACGATTTTTTTTTCGAAGACCGGCAGGGCTGCCCCTCAGGGCTGACCCTCAGGGCCGACGACCAGCAGGGCTGACCCTCGTGGCTGACCCTCAGGGCCAACAACCAGCAGGGCTGACCCTCATGGCTGGCCCTCAGGGCTGATGACCAGCAGGGCTGACCCTCAGGGCTGACGACCAGCAGGTCTGACCCTCAGGGCTGACCCTCAGGGCTCCTGTGCAGGCTTCCCCCCCCTACCCGGCTCCATCTCTGACCCGTGTCCTGCAGAGCCTGGAACAGCTGTCCTGCCTATCTAAGCTGCTCTCATTCCCGCATCTGATGGGGCAGGGAGGGGCAGGGGCCAGGGTCGCAGCCGGGTCACCTCACCAGGAGCGGGTGGGCACAGCCACCGTCTCCGCGACAGCACACAGCACAGCTGGGTCACCACCCAGGTGTCGCTCAAGCCAGGTACACCTCGGCAAGGGCAAGGGCAGAGCCCACGCCGCCCTGGCGTCCGGGGTCCACACCGTGTGAGGGACGGAGTGGCTCAGTGGGAACGCCTCGCTCTGCCAGACCCACTGAATCCGAGTCAGGGTCCCGGTTCAGCTTCTCCATGTAGTGGTGGGAGGTATACTTGTGCTCCCTGAGGCACCCGCCCCACTCACCACGGAGCAGGCAGCCCTCCCCATGGCTGGTCTGCAGTCGCTAAGACCCTGCGCGCGTGCCGTGAGGGTGACCAGACAGGCCCGGGCGCTGCCGTGGCCGCTGAGCGGGTCAGAGCAGCTCGCC